TGAAGACGGGAGGAGAAGAGAGGAAGCTTACACTGCCTTCACAATCCACGGGTCAAATCCCTCCCCAAGCCCTCCCAATACACGGGTCAAATCCCTCCCCAAACCCTACCAATACACGGGTCAAATCCCTCCCCAAGCCCTACCAATACACGGGTCAAATCCCTCCCCAAGCCCTACCAATCCACGGGTCAAATCCCTCCCCAAGCCCTACCAATACACGGGTCAAATCCCTCCCCAAGCCCTACCAATCCACGGGTCAAATCCCTCCCCAAGCCCTACCAATACACGGGTCAAATCCCTCCCCAAGCCCTACCAATACACGGGTCAAATCCCTCCCCAAGCCCTACCAATACACGGGTCAAATCCCTCCCCAAGCCCTACCAATACACGGGTCAAATCCCTCCCCAAGCCCTACCAATACACGGGTCAAATCCCTCCCCAAGCCCTACCAATACACGGGTCAAATCCCTCCCCAAGCCCTACCAATACACGGGTCAAATCCCTCCCCAAGCCCTACCAATACACGGGTCAAATCCCTCCCCAAGCCCTACCAATTTAATGCCCCATAGATAGTCCTTCAGAAGTTCAGCCCGGTGGGTTGGAGCCTGTTAGTTACTAGGTTGAAGATACCCAAGAACAGAGGTTAAGGTTAAGATAAGATACCCAGGTTGAGGACAAGAGGATTCTAAACATTGAGACCAGCCATGTGAAAACGATGGGAACGTTTAGGAGGGTTGGAGGCTACCGGCTCTCAGAGGAGACTACACAGGAAGGTGTTTTCTTGTTTGAGGCTCTCAGAGGAGACTACACAGGAAGGTGTTTTCTTGTTTGAGGCTCTCAGAGGAGACTACACAGGAAGGTGTTTTCTTGTTTGAGGCTCTCAGAGGAGACTACACAGGAAGGTGTTTTCTTGTTTGAGGCTCTCAGAGGAGACTACACAGGAAGGTGTTTTCTTGTTATAACTGTGTTATAACAGTCTCTTTGTTAGCTTCCTCAGACAGGAGATCTCTGTCAGGAAACAGAGTGTTATTATCTGTTAGGAGAGAGACACATGGAGGAGACCGTAAACCACACAGCCTGACTATGGCTATATGAGGACTTACAGGCAGAGAGCTGCGGGTATTGAGGTGTGTTTGGGACATCAACAGAGGGGAAAACTGAGCGCCTGTACAGGAATGAACCAGCCCAGCGTAGAGTGGCTTTAACACGCAGGGTTGTGGTTGGTAGCTCGCCCAGCGTAGAGTGGCTTTAACATGCAGGGTTGTGGTTGGTAGCTCGCCCAGCGTAGAGTGGCTTTAACACGCAGGGTTGTGGTTGGTAGCTCGCCCAGCGTAGAGTGGCTTTAACATGCAGGGTTGTGGTTGGTAGCTCGCCCAGCGTAGAGTGGCTTTAACACGCAGGGTTGTGGTTGGTAGCTCGCCCAGCGTAGAGTGGCTTTAACATGCAGGGTTGTGGTTGGTAGCTCCTGCTGAATACTACACAATCTGACTGGGTCTTTCCAGCCTAACAGAGGAGGCTGGAGTAGTCAGGACGTCAACAGAACAAACACAAGAGGGGAAGAAAACATGAACTAGCCTGGTCCCAGATCTGTTTGGCATGTCAAGGACCATAGGAGTTGGCAAGACAGCATAAACAGATCTGGGGCTGAATAAATCCCAGCCTATAGACCCTGCTCCAAAGGTAGTGCGTTACATAGCCCATGATGTGTCTGTTCTCTCCAACAGCTCTGTCTGTATGTGTTGCTGCATTTAAAGGGACGGTAGCATAAACGTAACCGCATGTAACATATGGATTGACATTAGTTTACGCATCAAAAGTCCCAATAAAAAGTTACACCTCATTTTTTCTATTATTGGAGTTATTATATAAAACTGATCAGAATGCCCAAGTCATGTCAGAAAATGTTTTTCCCGGGTGTGATGTAATATGGAGGACACAGCAAGCCAGCCTATTGCCGATAACGTAAACTCCAACATAATTTAACTTCAAATGTATAACTTCAATTTAAACCAAATTGTTTGCACTCATGACTACTGGTTTCAATTGAATTTTCTGCCAACTTATAAGCAAATACTATGAATTTATTGTTACAAATCAACTTGCAAGGTTGCTAACTAACTAGCCTGCTAACGTTAGCCATACCAGCCTGCTAATGTTACATTAGCACTGAATGAGTCAGTCAGTTGCTATCAACACCTAGCTTACATGAAAATAAACCAAAGTTCTGGAAATACATAACGCCAACTAACCAGCTATCAAAGAATGTTAGCTATATGCAGTTATCTTAGCAAGCTAGCCAGCCAGCTAACATGAACTATTTAACCAACTAGCTATTAGCCTAGCCAGCCTAGCCAACTAGCTATTAGCCTAACCAGCCTAGCCAACTAGCTATTAGCCTAGCCAACCACCACGACTATGGTCGGCAAGCTGGAACCCAATTACTGGAGACCAGCCAGAAAACAACATAACTAAAACATAACCGCAGATCAAAAGCGCAGAGAGAGATTTACAGATTGATGGCTGGGGCCCATCCGATGGTAACAGTCGAGGAAAATCCAAAAGAGATAGATTCCGGATGTAAGTCAGCTAGCATACTACCACTAAGCCAAGGTGGAAAAAGTTACCAAACTCCCATAGCCTACTACACAGAGAACATGCCGAGAAGTTGACAAAAGTAAAAAGGAGAACAGACGAGGTTCTACACAATTAGAGCAGGTAGGATTTTCTCTTTCGTTTTGAGTCCACGGCAAGAAGGCACCAGAGACTGCAATTCTAATGGTCTCTCACTAGATAACACAGCCACAAAGTCTGTGATGAGCATGAGCTTGCTACTGAGCTCGCATACGAACTCTGTAGCACAGAGTAGATCCTCCATATGACGTTGAGAAATAGTGCAATGTGGGTAGTTCCGAAGATATACGGAAATAAGTTGATAAATATGTAATAACCCAAAAACATAAAACGATGTTTATACTTCCAGGGAAACCAGATGGTGACTACAATTAAGTTACGAAGTCTTTAACCACACTTGAAACCCTACCTCTTTAAGGAATACCTGGAATAGTCTAAAAGTAATCCTTCTACCCCACCCCCCCTCCCCCAGTGGTGGTTGTCCCACTGGCTATCCTAAGTTGAATGCACCAATTTGTATGTCGCTCTGGATAAGAGCGTCTGCTAAATGACTTAAATGTTAAATATTGTTACTGTGGTGAGTCAAATCTCATGCTTCCTACTTTTTAACTTGTGCATTTAACAGAAGGAGTCAGTAGCGGCTGCATGGTACATAGTATTGTGACGTTCTGTATAGGAGACTATCTTGACCTCAATATGATGGTTATATCTCTGTTCTACACAGCAGTCCTCTCTCTGTTCTACACAGCAGTCCTCTCTCTGTTCTACACAGCAGTCCTCTCTCTGTTCTACACAGCAGTCCTCTCTCTGTTCTACACAGCAGTCCTCTCTCTGTTCTACACAGCAGTCCTCTCTCTGTTCTATACAGCAGTCCTCTCTCTGTTCTATCCAGCAGTCCTCTCTCTGTTCTACACAGCAGTCCTCTCTCTGTTCTACACCGCAGTTCACTATCTCTGTCTACACAGCAGTCCTCTCTCTGTTTATCACAGCAGTCCTCTCTCTGTCTACACAGCAGTCTCTCTCTGTTCTACACAGCAAGTCCTCTCTCTGTTCTACACAGCAGTCCTCTCTCCTGTTTCTACACAGCAGTCCTCTCTCTGTTCTACACAGCAGTCCTCTCTCTGTTCTACACAGCAGTCCTCTCTCTGTTCTACACAGCAGTCCTCTCTCTGTTCATACACAGCAGTCCTCTCTGTTCTACACAGCAGTCCTCTCTCTGTTCTACACAGCAGTCCTCTCTCTGTCTACACAGCAGTCCTCTCTCTGTTCTACACAGCAGTCCTCTCTTCTGTTCTAAACAGCAGTCCTCTCTATGTTCTACACAGCAGTCCTCTCTCTGTTCTACACAGCAGTCCTCTCTCGTTTCTACACAGCAGTCCTCTCTCTGTTCTACACAGCAGTCCTCTCTCTGTTCTACACAGCAGTCCTCTCTCTGTTCTACACAGCAGTTCCTCTCTCTGTTCTACACAGCAGTCCTCTCTCTGTTCTACACAGCAGTCCTCTCTCTGTTCTACACAGCAGTCCTCTCTCTGTTCTACACAGCAGTCCTCTCTCTGTTCTACACAGCAGTCCTCTCTCTGTTCTACACAGCAGTCCTCTCTCTGTTCTACACAGCAGTCCTCTCTCTGTTCTACACAGCAGTCCTCTCTCTGTTCTACACAGCAGTCCTCTCTCTGTTCTACACAGCAGTCCTCTCTTGTTCTACACAGCAGTCCCTCTCTGTTCTACACAGCAGTCCTCTCTCTGTTCTATACAGCAGTCCTCTCTCTGTTCTACACAGCAGTCCTCTCTCTGTTTCTACACAAGCAGTCCTCTCTCTGTTCTACACAGCAGTCCTCTCTCTGTTCTACACAGCAGTCCTCTTCTGTTCTACACAGCAGTCCTCTCTGTTCTACACAGCAGTCCTCTCTCTGTTCTAACAGCAGTCCTCTCTCTGTTCTATACAGCAGTCCTCTCTCTGTTCTACACAGCAGTCCTCTCTCTGTTCTACACAGCAGTCCTCCTCTGTCTACACAGCAGTCCTCTCTCTGTTCTACACAGCAAGTCCTCTCTCTGTTCTATACAGCAGTCCTCTCTCTGTTCTACACAGCAGTCCTCTCTCTGTTATACACAGCAGTCCTCTCTCTGTTCTATCACAGCAGTCCTCTCTCTGTTCTATCCAGCAGTCCCTCTCTGTTCTACACAGCAGTCCTCTCTCTGTTATACCAGAGCAGTCCTCTCTCTGTTCTATCCAGCAGTCCTCTCTCTGTTTATACCAGCATCCTCTCTCTGTTCTAACACAGCAGTCCTCTCTCTGTTCTATACAGCAGTCCTCTCTGTTCTATCCAGCAGTCCTCTCTCTGTTCTACACAGCAGTTCCTCTCTCTGTTCTACACAGCAGTCCTCTCTTCTGTTCTACACAGCAGTCCTCTCTCCTGTTCTATCCAGCAGTCCAGTCCTCTCTCCTGTTCTACACAGCAGTCCTCTCTCTGTTCTATACACAGCAGTCCTCTCTCTGTTCTATACAGCAGTCCTCTCTCTGTTCTATACAGCAGTCCTCTCTCTGTTCTATCCAGCAGTCCTCTCTCTGTTCTATACAGCAGTCCTCTCTCTGTTCTACACAGCAGTCCTCTCTCTGTTCTACAGAGCAGTCCTCTCTCTGTTCTATCCAGCAGTCCTCTCTCTGTTATACACAGCAGTCCTCTCTCTGTTCTATACAGCAGTCCTCTCTCTGTTCTATACAGCAGTCCTCTCTGTTCTATCCAGCAGTCCTCTCTCTGTTCTACACAGCAGTCCGATCTCCAGCTCTGTGCCACACCCCGATCTGCCATTCAACAGGGAGCTTCATGCATTGAGAACACAGAAACAGAAATTAACCTCCATGGATTTGTGAGTTAACAACTAGAGTTTCGAACCCCTTCAGACCCTCAGCTAGCTAGCTAACACTCTCTATGCAGATATCCAGTTAACCCACCCTGCCAATCACTGTGTGTGTTGGCTTTTATTGAGACTGGGAGAGGAGATCTGGAGAACTGGGTCCAGTCCAGCATTGTGGCCCAGATGACATGATGGTAGTTATCCTGGGTCCTGTCCAGCATAGTGGACCAGATGACATGATGGTAGTTACAGTATACTGGGTCAGACACATGGAAGCAGAGGAGAGGAGAGGAGAGGAGAGGAGAGGAGAGGAGAGGAGAGGAGAGGAGAGGAGAGGAGAGAGAAACAGAACAGAGAGACATAAATTATTAGGAATGTCAGGGACCTTAGATTGGGATCTCTCTCTCCAAGACACCAGCCCTGATACAGCTAACCACCACACTCCCAGTTCCACCTGCCATCATGCCAACAGGCTGTTACACAGAGAGCTGGGGACTAACTAGCCTGAGTTCCTACAGGATGTTACACAGAGAGATGGGGACTAACTAGCCTGAGTTCCAACAGGATGTTACACAGAGAGCTGGGGACTAACTAGCCTGAGTTCCAACAGGCTGTTACACAGAGAGCTGGGGACTAACTAGCCTGAGTTCCTACAGGATGTTACACAGAGAGCTGGGGACTAACTAGCCTGAGTTCCTATAGGATGTTACACAGAGAGCTGGGGACTAACTAGCCTGAGTTCCAACAGGATGTTACACAGAGAGCTGGGGACTAACTAGCCTGAGTTCCAACAGGATGTTACACAGAGAGCTGGGGACTAACTAGCCTGAGTTCCTACAGGATGTTACACAGAGAGCTGGGGACTAACTAGCCTGAGTTCCTACAGGATGTTACACAGAGAGCTGGGGACTAACTAGCCTGAGTTCCTACAGGATGTTACACAGAGAGCTGGGGACTAACTAGCCTGAGTTCCTATAGGATGTTACACAGAGAGCTGGGGACTAACTAGCCTGAGTTCCAACAGGATGTTACACAGAGAGCTGGGGACTAACTAGCCTGAGTTCCAACAGGCTGTTACACAGAGAGCTGGGGACTAACTAGCCTGAGTTCCTATAGGATGTTACACAGAGAGCTGGGGACTAACTAGCCTGAGTTCCAACAGGATGTTACACAGAGAGCTGGGGACTAACTAGCCTGAGTTCCAACAGGCTGTTACACAGAGAGCTGGGGACTAACTAGCCTGAGTTCCAACAGGCTGTTACACAGAGAGCTGGGGACTAACTAGCCTGAGTTCCTACAGGATGTTACACAGAGAGCTGGGGACTAACTAGCCTGAGTTCCTACAGGATGTTACACAGAGAGCTGGGGACTAACTAGCCTGAGTTCCAACAGGATGTTACACAGAGAGCTGGGGACTAACTAGCCTGAGTTCCTACAGGATGTTACACAGGGAGCTGGGGACTAACTAGCCTGAGTTCCTACAGGATGTTACACAGAGAGCTGGGGACTAACTAGCCTGAGTTCCTACAGGATGTTACACAGAGAGCTGGGGACTAACTAGCCTGAGTTCCAACAGGATGTTACACAGAGAGCTGGGGACTAACTAGCCTGAGTTCCAACAGGATGTTAAACAGTCATTGTTGCTGTCATTGTCTAGCCAAACATGTTTGTCATGATTGACAGGGAGTTGATAGTCCAAACAGTCAGGCTGGGGACTAACTGATAGTCCAAACAGTCAGGCTGGGGACTAACTGATAGTCCAAACAGTCAGACTGGGGACTAACTGATAGTCCAAACAGTCAGGCTGGGGACTAACTGATAGTCCAAACAGTCAGGCTGGGGACTAACTGATAGTCCAAACAGTCAGGCTGGGGACTAACTGATAGTCCAAACAGTCAGGCTGGGGACTAACTGATAGTCCAAACAGTCAGGCTGGGGACTAACTGATAGTCCAAACAGTCAGGCTGGGGACTAACTGATAGTCCAAACAGTCAGGCTGGGGACTAACTGATAGTCCAAACAGTCAGGCTGGGGACTAACTGATAGTCCAAACAGTCAGGCTGGGGACTAACTGATAGTCCAAACAGTCAGGCTGGGGACTAACTGATAGTCCAAACAGTCAGGCTGGGGACTAACTGATAGTCCAAACAGTCAGGCTGGGGACTAACTGATAGTCCAAACAGTCAGGCTGGGGACTAACTGATAGTCCAAACAGTCAGGCTGGGGACTAACTGATAGTCCAAACAGTCAGGCTGGGGACTAACTGATAGTCCAAACAGTCAGGCTGGGGACTAACTGATATAACTGGTGAGGTGTAGAAACAAACTGTATTAGCTTGTTGTTCATCTGTTAGTAGAACGCAGACAGACAGACAGACAGCATACCAAGCAGAATGACTGGTAGTTTAGCAGACAGTCTAGCAGACAGACAGACAGACAGCATACCAAGCAGAATGACTGGTAGTTTAGCAGACAGTCTAGCAGACAGACAGACAGACAGCATACCAAGCAGAATGACTGGTAGTTTAGCAGACAGTCTAGCAGACAGACAAGACAGCATACCAAGCAGAATGACTGGTAGTTTAGCAGACAGACAGACAGCATACCAAGCAGAATGCCTGGTAGTTTAGTAGACAGTCTAGCAGACAGACAGACAGCATACCAAGCAGAATGCCTGGTAGTTTAGCAGACAGACAGACAGCATACCAAGCAGAATGCCTGGTAGTTTAGCAGACAGACAGACAGCATACCAAGCAGAATGCCTGGTAGTCTAGCAGACAGACAGACAGCATACCAAGCAGAATGACTGGTAGTTTAGCAGACAGACAGACAGCATACCAAGCAGAATGCCTGGTAGTCTAGCAGACAGACAGACAGCATACCAAGCAGAATGCCTGGTAGTTTAGCAGACAGTGATAAAGCTGTGCTTCTCCTCCTCTAATCTGGACTAATGTATTTTCTTTCTTTCTCTCCCCCAAAGCTCCAAATGTCTCAGCCAGGTGTGTTTCCCCCCGCAGCGTGTAACAGTCCATCAGACGTCCCTCTCCCACACCCCTCCTCCTCCCCCAGGAAACCCCCTCCCTCCCTCCCTTCCTCCAGTCCGGGGCTGTAGTCTCTGGGGCGGGGGGAGGGGTTAGGGTGGAGCAGGGCGGGGTCCAGGGGCAGGGGGTGTGGTCAGATACAGGTGGAGGGCTGTGCAGAGGCTTGTTGCTTCCTGTTCCTCAGACCACCTGACTTCTCCTTGTAACCAAGACACATCTGCTGAGACACATCCACCAGGGCCGAGGCCACCGTTAGCCCTACACAGAGACAGGAAGTGATGTATTAGTAACAGGAAGTTATGTATTAGTGTAATGATGTCATTTCATAGTGTTGTGTGACCCAGGTTAGAGTTGGTCGATAAGTGGCTTGGTGCCACAGAGTCTGCATTCCTTATGTCAAAGGAGATTACTGATGTTGATCTTAGAATCATTGATGGACAGGATATAGTGATTTGGGGTAAAGGATAATAACATCAAAGAAGGTAATGCCCACCGATGGGTACCAGATGTTTGTGAAGAAACGTGTAACAGAGGGTATTATAAGCTGAGAGGATCTTCTTTGTTCAAGCGAGTTCAGAATGTCCAGAGGCAGGGCTATGTCTTCTGTTATAACTAACCATGGTACATATTAAATATCTTATATGAACTCCCCATCAAAAGTGTCTAAGTATATCCTTACATTCTTAATGACTTGATACCCTAGAAACTCATCATAACAATTAGTTTGTCACTAAACAATATGGGCCTTAGCATACAGTGGTGAATTTTGTCCTTGAAACATTTAATTAATGGAGTCTAGAATTCCATTCATTCCTATGGAGGACAGCTCCTACTGGGGGGTACCAATATGGCCGCTACTGGGGGGCACCAATATGGCCGCTACTGGGGGGCACCAATATGGCCGCCCGGTGGCTCCAAAGCCTTTCACTGGCCAATACATAGCATCAGCAATCCAGGGTTTATATACGTCATTGGACACAGCGCTTTATTCCACTGGTCCTATTTTCAGCTAACAGTTTTTATTAAAAATAGTGTTTAGATAACCATACTGGGTCTATTAACATAACACAGTTATACGTCAGTGTGTGTGTTCAGAATTAAAGCATTTTAATAAGGTCCAGATGTTAATCACAGCTACAGTGGGGGAAAAAAGTATTTAGTCAGCCACCAATTGTGCAAGTTCTCCCACTTAAAAAGATGAGAGAGGCCTGTAATTTTCATCATAGGTACACGTCAACTATGACAGACAAAATGAGAAAAATAATCCAGAAAATCACATTGTAGGATTTTTAATGAATATATTTGCAAATTATGGTGGAAAATAAGTATTTGGTCAATAACAAAAGTTTCTCAATACTTTGTTATATACCCTTTGTTGGCAATGACACAGGTCAAACGTTTTCTGTATGTCTTCACAAGGCTTTCACACACTGTTGCTGATATTTTGGCCCATTCCTCCATGCAGATCTCCTCTAGAGCAGTGATGTTTTGGGGCTGTCGCTGGGCAACACAGACTTTCAACTCCCTCCAAATATTTTCTATGGGGTTGAGATCTGGAGACTGGCTAGGCCACTCCAGGACCTTGAAATGCTTCTTACGAAGCCACTCCTTCGTTGCCCGGGCGGTGTGTTTGGGATCATTGTCATGCTGAAAGACCCAGCCACGTTTCATCTTCATGCCCTTGCTGATGGAAGTCTCTCTGGTCGATCCAAGCACAGTCCTCTTATGTTTCTACACAGCAGTCTCTCTCTGTTAACACCGCATCCTCTCTCGTTTACCACAGCAGTCCTCTCTCTGTTCTAACCGCCAGTCCTCTCTCTGTTCTTACACAGCGTCCTCTCTGTTCTAAAACAGCAGTCATCTCTTGTTCTACACAGCAGTCCTCTCGCTGTTCTACACAGCAGTCCTCTCTCTGTTCTACCACAGCAGTCCTCTCTGTTCATATCCAGCCAGTCCTCTCTCTGTTCTACACAGCAGTCGATTCTCCCGCTCTGTGCAACACCCCCGATCTGCCATTCAACAGGGGAGCTTCATGCATTGAGAACACAGAAAGAAGAAACAGAAATTAACCTCCATGGATTGTGAGTTAACAACTAGAGTTCGAACCCCTTCAGACCTCAGATTTAGCTAGGCTACACCTCTATGCAGTATGTTATCCCAGTGACCCACCCTGCCAGATCACTGTTGTGTGTGTTGTTGCTTATTTGTAGTTACTGGGGAGAGTTGAGGATTGGAGAACTGGGTCCAGTCCTAGCATTGGGGCCCAGATGTTATAATGATGGTAGTTATCATGGGTCCGTCTAAGCCCCATAGTGGACAGATAACATTTTTTTTTTTTTTATGAATTTTGGAGTTACAGTAATACTGGGTCAGACACATGGAATGCTCAGAGGAGAGGATTGAGGATGAGGAGAGGAGAGGTTAGAGGAGAGGAGATGGAAGGAGGATTGAGTTGCGAGGATTTTTGGAAACAGAACAGAGATGACATTAAATTATTAGGAATGTCAGGGACATTATGTATTGGGAGCTCTCTCTTTTCAATTTTTGACATTTCCAGCCCTGATACAGCTATTCATACCATCCAAATTCCCCATGTGCCACGTGTCATGATAAGCATTCAACAGGCTGTTACACAGAGAGATGGGGACTATTACTATTTTGCCTGAGGTCCTTTAACAGGTATGTTTACAAAGAGAGCTGCTTTTGGGTACTATACTAGCTGAGTTCCAACATTGGATGGTAAACATTTGGTAGCGGGGGACTAATAGCTGAGTTTCTTAAAAATCAGATATTACACAGAGAGCTGGGGACTAATCTAGCCTGAGTTTCCACAGGATTGTTACATCAGAGACGCGGGGGACTTTTAATAGCTGAGTGCATTAAACAGGATGTTACAGAGAGCTGTTGGGCACTAACTAGCCGAGTTCCAACAGATTGGGTTTAACAGATTGAGCTGGGGACTAAGTAGCCTGTAGTTCCAAACAATTGTGATGTTACACAGAGAGCTGTGGCCTAAAAATTTTGAGCCTGAGTTGCCAACAGGATGTTAACAGAGAGTGGGGATTAACTGCCTGGTTCAATTCAGGTAGTTACACAGAGCGCTGGGTGGCTAAGTTAGCATGTAGTTCCAACAGGATGGTACATCAGACTGAGTTGCTGTGGGTGATTATATTAACTAGCTTTGAGTTTTCCAACAGGAGTTAACACAGAGAGTGGGATTTTTCTACATAGCCTGAGTTCTACCGGTTATTTATCCACCGATTGTTTTTATTGCTTGTTTGTGGACTAACGAGCCTGAGTTCTTTTTTCACCTCAGATGTTGTACATCAGCATGTGTTTGCTGCATTGTCTAGCCAAACATGTTGTCCTTTTTTTGATGACAGGGTAAGGTGGATTTTCAGTCCAAAACAGTCGGTTGTTTGGGGACTAATTTTTGATAGTTCTCAAACAGTCCGTGCTGGGGATCTAATATGTTAGTCAAACTAGTCTTTCAGGCTGGGTGAATAACTGATGGTCCAAAAGTTTCAGGCTTGGGGACTTGAAAACTGTATAGTCCAAACAGTCAGGATGGGATCTAACTGCTAGTTCCATTAAATCAGTTTCATTTGGCGGTTTGGAGAACTGGATAGTCTCAAACTAGTAAGGCTGGGGACTAAACTGATAGTCCCAAACAGTCAGGGCCTGGGGTTGACTCACTGATAGTCCAAACAGTTCTTAAGGTGGGTGACTAATTCGGATAGTCCAAACAGTCAAGGTGGGACTAAACGATAGTCCAAACAGTCATGGATTGTGGTGGATAACTGAATTTAATGGCGGGAGGTTGTAGATAACCAAAACTGTATTTTTTAGTTGGTTCATATGGAGCAGTAACGCAGACAGACAGACGACAGCATACCAATTGCAGAAGAATGCGAGTTTAGCAGACTAGTCTTAGTACAGACAGACAGGACAGACTGTCATACCAAGCAGATGTTCCTTGGTGTTTAGCAGAGCAGACTTAGACAGTATTCAAGCATTAACAAGCAGAAGGATGGTAGTTTATTTGTAAGACAGTCTAGTTCAGACAGACAGAACAGACAGCATTTATCCAAGGTCAGCAATGCTGGTAGTTTAGCATTGACAGTAACAGGATATAGCATTTAACCATTAGCATGCTGCCTTGGTAGTTTAGCATGACAGACAGACTTCAGCTATGACAAAAGCTAGAATGTAATGGTAGTTTGAGCAGACATGTGTGATAAAGCATGTGATTTCTCTCCTCTCAATGTATTGGGGTACTCTTTAGGATTTCTTTCTTCGCTCACTACATTAACGCTCCAAATGTCTCAGCCTGTGGTGTTGTTTCCCCTTGCCGCGGGTTTTTGTAACAGTCCATCAGGACGTCCCTCTACCCACACCCCTGCCTCTCCCCAGGGAAAACCCTATATCCCTTTTTACCTCCCTCCCTCTAAGTCCAGGGTGTTCTGTAGTCTCTTTTGTTTTTGGGTAGGGGGGTTTTTCTTTTTTCTGTGCGGTGGGGGAGGGTTTTTTTGTTCCTTAGGGTGAGAGGTGCTGGGGTTTCAGAGGAAGGTTTGGGTTTTTGTGATCAGATAACGGTGTGATGGGCTGTGCAGAGTTGCTTGCACTTTTCCTTGTCCTCAGACCACTGACTTCTGTCCTGGTAACCATTAGACACATCTGCTGAGACACATCCACCAGGGACGATTGGAAACGTTTTTGAGCCTACAAGAGACAGTGTTTAAGTGATGTAATTAGTAAACAGGGAAGTATGTAAGTAGTTGTTAATGATGTCATTTCATAGTGTTGTGGACCCACTGGTTTGCTTCGGTTGGGTCAATAAGTGGCTTGGTTGATCTACAGAGTTATTTGTTGCATTCATTATGTCAAAGGAGGATTACTATTTTACCTTATTTTTTTCCACATAATTTTTGCAAATATTTTTAAATTCATAAAATTTAAATCCTTTACAAGTGATTTTTATTGTTTGTATTTTTTCTTTTCCAATTGGTCTGTCAATAGTTGACGTTTTTTTTTTTGTACCGATGCATTTGAATAATTGTATATTGCCTGCTCTATATCTTTTTTAAGTGGTGACGAAATTGCACAATTGGTGGCGGACTAAATACTTTTTCCCCTTTCACTGTTTTTTTTTTAATCTGGATATCCTCATACACACCAACGACACAGCAGTTGGGATAAAGTTTTCCTTTAACTTTTGATGAATAGTGGGAGGCTTGAAGGAGTGTTGTGTTTGACCGCAGGGTGTTTGTTGAGGTCAGAACATGATTAGAAAAATGATTTTGTTGTGTTTAAAGGGATCGAAATCAGACCCGGGAAGGGGGAGTGGATGGGGAGTATGAGGGGAGTTGGAGGGGAGGATTTTTGAGGGTTTTGGAGATTGTGGGGTTTGGCCGCCTCTGGGAAGTCTCCTATTTAGAGGGAAGTGTTTTGTGTAGGACAGAGAGAACATTTAATTAATAAGATTCTGGGATGAGATTGATTTTATTGGTGGGAGGATCCCTCAGAGAAGGGGGATGAGAGTTGAGATTTGTAGAGGTGATTAAGGAGATTGAGATTGGGAGAAGGGGGAGATTTCTGGTCTGGAGCGAGAGAGTAGGGGAGTAGGGAGTTTGAGGAGAGAAAGATTGGGGTTGGAGAGGGAGAGAGAAATGGGAGAGTTTGATAGATTGTGAGAGAGATAAGGGAGAGGTTGATAGAGAGATGAGTTAGGGGGGAGATCTTTGTTAGAGAGGAGAAGATTAGGGTGGTGGAGATGGATAGTAGAGAGATTGAGAGAGATGAGGGGGAAGTTTTTTGGGAAGGATTGGAGCGATCGATGAGAGGTGGTGAGAGGGAGAGAGAGAGGCTGGAGAGGGAGAAGCGGTTTTAAGAGAGAGAGGGGGAGGGGATTGAGGATTGAGAGAGAGAGATTTATTGAGAGAGGGAGAGATGTGTGGTAGGAGAGATGGGTGGAGAGTTTGTATAGAGATGGGGGTTGAGATGTTTTTTTTTAGGGAGAGTGGGAGTGATAGAGAGAGATGTTTAGAAGGGAAAGAGGGATAGAGAGAGAGGGGGATGAAGATGGGATAGAGATTTGAGAGGGGGGCGATTTGGATTTGATGAGAGAGGGGGAGAGTGTATATGAGGAGAGAGGGTGGGGAGGAAGGAGAGAGAGAGAGGGGGGAGAGGGAGAGAGAGAGAGAGGTTGAGAGTTTTTTGTTTGAGAGACGAGGGGGGAGAGGGAAGAGAGAGAAGGAGAGGGGAGAGAGAGAGAGAGAGAGAGTAGAAGGGTTTGGATGAGGTTTTTGAGAGAGGGAGTTATGAGGGAGTGTGGATTTGCGAGAGATGGGGGATTGAGCGAGATGTGGGAGGGGAGGGGGTGAGAGGGGGGGAGAAGGAAGATTTGATTGAGAGGCATGGGGGGGGATTTAGAGAGAGGGGGAGAAGGATGAGAGGGGGTGTTGAGGGAGAGATTGATCGGGGGGAGAAGGATGTGAGAGGGTTGGTGTTGCGAGGGATAGAGAGTTGTGGGACGCTGTTTGTAGAGAGAGGGTGGGGCAGGGATGAGAGGGGGTTTTTTTTACGTGGGCTGGATGATTGATGAGATTTTTAGAGAGGGGGAGGGACAGGGAGAGAGATGAGAGGGATGGGGAGAGTGGAGATTTGAAGATAGGATAGAGAGAGAGGGGGGCAGGATTAGAGAGAAAGAGGGGTAAGAGGGGATTGAGAGATGAGAGAGGGCGAGAGAGTTAGATGTTTGTGGAGTAGAGTAGAGATGTGGGGGCGATGTGGATTGTGAGAGGGAGAGCGAGAGAGAGAGAGAGACAGGGTGGATGTGTTTTGTTTTTTGGTTTGGGATTGATTTGATGATGAGGGGGAGTACACCCGATGGAGGAGGGGGTGCGAGGTAGAGAGAGAGAGAGAGAGGGGGAGAGAGATAGTGGGGCGGGGGGAGAAGGATAAGGAGAGAGGGGGGGGGAAGGGAAAGAGAGAGAGAGGGGGGGAGAAGGATATAGAGAAGCGGGGGAGAGGAACAGAGAGAGAGAGAGGGGGAGAGGAATAGATGAGAGAGTAAGGGGGGAGAGGGATTGAGAGAGATGGGGGGAGGGAAAGAGAGCGTTAGGGGGGGAGTAAGATATTAGAGATGCGGGTGGGAGAGGGAGAGAGAGATAGGGGGAAGAGGTTGAGATGTAGAGAGAGGGGGGAGAGATAGGGGGGAGAGGGAGGAGAGATTTTGATTTGAGAGAAAGGGTGGGAGGAGAGAGGGGTGTTGAGGTGGAGAGGTGATTGAGAGAGAGAGAGTGTGGGGACCGAGAGAGAGAAGGGGAAGAGGGAGAGAGTTGAGATGTGTTGGGGATGAGTATAGGCGGAAGAAGGGGAGAGAGCTGAGAGAGAGAGAGTGGGGGAGAGATAGGGGAAGAGGGTATGATGAGAGAGAGGGGTAGGGAAGAGGGAGAGAGAGTGATGGTGAGCGATAGGGGAAAGAGGGGATGATGAGAGAGATGGGTTTGGAGAGATAGGGGGGGAAGAGGAGGAGAGAGAGGGGGTGAGAGATCGGGAGAGGGTAGATTGAGAGAGGGGGGATTGAGATAGGGGAAGAGGGAGTCTTTTTTTTTGAGTTTGGAGAGAGATTTAGATGAGGGGATCTTGAGATTTTTTGAGATTGATCGCGGGGAAGAGGGAGAGAGAGAGAGGTTTCATCCATGCTTTCTATCTTTAACTCAGATTTTACTGACCGGTTGCGGGGGGATGCCCCCGGTGCCTCTGGGTTGTGGTATATACGGACGAAGTGGGATTTAGGGAATATTGCAGCCTTGTCTCTTACCAACCACGTGGGATTCCAGGGTCGATGGGCTTGGGGACATTGCGGTTTAGTGGATGAGAGAGACATCAGTTGGATATGGCGTCATTAGATTTACTTAATTATTGTTTTTGGTGGACTTTCTGTGTCATATAAACAGTCCTGTATGGGCAGTGACAGGAAGTTTTTGGCAAGAGATGTATAGAATTAACAAATCGGACACTCAGGAAACAGTTCACTGGAGGGTACTATTGGTTTTTTTGTTGGAAGGGCTGACTATAGTCCTTAACTGCATTCTTACCTAGGTATCCTCTTGTTTCCAGAGGGTTAGGGGCCAGTGTGCAGTTGTGATGGACGATGGCATCGTGTATGTGGATCTACTGGGGCGGTTTTTAAGCCATAATTTGAAGTGTTGGTCTAGGGTGATCAGGTAAGGTAGAGGATCCATGAAGGTGGATTCTAGTTGTTTTTTTGGTGGACAGTAAGGAGATGATCCATGAAGTTTGGATCTAGGGTGAATAGCGTGAGTATGAGGATCCATTTTGAAGTGGATCTAGGGCGATCATTTTTGTGTTTAATGGTAGAGGATCCATTTGAAATGGCTATCATTGGGTGACAGTGATTGTTGTAGAGTTTGATATTTCATTTGAAGTGGATCTAGAGTGACAGGTTGTATAGGTAGAGGATCCTTGACTAGTCTATAAAATAAATTTTCTTTCGTTTGCTCTGTTTTCTAGCTTTATTGGTTTGTTTTAGGTATGAATTTCAACTGAAACTGTAAATTTTATGTGCGTTGTTTTTGGTTCGTTTCATTGGCTAGCAAGTGCAATGTTGTGATAGTTACCTGGACAGTTTTTCAAATTGCATTGTAATGGTGAACTTGCTTTAGCCGATATTTTTTTTTTTTTTTTTTTTTTTTAGGACATTTGTCGCCATTATTTGTTTTTTTGCCCCATCCATTGCTTTTTTTCAGGGACTAAAGTGTGGTTTTTTTTTTTTTTTTCTTGGTTTTCTTTTGGGACATGATTGTTTTCTTTAATGGCATTGCTATTGGCAGGAGAAAAACAGTAATGCAAGATATCGTTTGATTTGGAAGAGCATTTTATTACAACATAGATTGAAAATGTAGAAAATGACAGCCAGCTGTGGTTGTCTGTCAATCTTTTGGTTTTCTTCCTTGCTCTAGTCAGACAAGTTTATTGTTTGTATGTTGATGTTGTATGTCTGTTGGTAGTCTAGTATGCTATGGTATTTACTTTATGTTTTGCTCTGTTTAGAGCTTGGTTCTTGATTTCTGTAGTTGCGTTGTCTGTTGTATGCTAGCGTGCTTAATTAGCTTTTTCTTTAGGGGGTTCTGTTTAGCTAGCTTGCTAATTGTAAGGCAGTGTCTGTTTAGATAGCTGATACCTCTGGTAGCAGTTAGTTGTATGGTTAAGCTAGCTTTGCTACTGTAGCAGTCTGTGTAGCTAGCTTGCTACGTAGATTGTTATGTTGTCTTTGTGTTTATGCTAGTTGGTTTGCTACTTTGTTTAGCAGGTCTTTTGTTGGTAGCTTTTAGCTTTGCTAATGTTTAGCAGTGTGTCTGTTTTTGATGGCTAGCTTGCTACTGTAGCAGTTCTTGTCTTTTGTTTTGTAGCTGAGCTTGCTACTTTTTTGGATTAGCTTAGGCTGTTCAGTTCTAGCTTGAAAGTGTTTAGCATTTGTGGTATTTGTTAGCTGTTCTGCTACTTGTTTTCTTACACTTTTATTTTGTGTTTTCTGTCTATGCTAGTTGCTACTTGTTAGCTAGTGTGCTGTTTAGCTAGCTTGCTGATCTGTTTTGCAGTGTTGTTAGCTTCTTTAGCTTGCTTTTATGTGTATAGTCTTTAGTAGTGTCTCTATGTTTTTATGTAGTTGCCTATCTGTAGCAGTGTCTGTTTTTAGCTGCTTGCTACGGTTGTGTAGTCAGTGTCTGTTAGAGCAGCTTGATTGACTTGTAGCATGGTTTCTGTTTATGGCTAGCTGTGCTATTGAAGCAGTGTCTGTTAGCTATGATTGTCTACTGTAGCTTTTGTGTCTGTGTAGATAGCTTGATACTGTAGTATGGGTATGTTTTTTATGCTAGCTTGTCCTTTTTGTTCTACTGTAGTAAGTGTTTCTGTTTAGCTAGCTTAGCTTCTTTTGTAGCAGTGTTATTATGTTTAGCTAGGTTCTGCTCTGTCTTTAGTCCGTGTCTGTTTAGCTAGGCTTGCTCTTTTGAGCTCTTATTGAGGTTAATTTTTCCCTTGTCATGAAGGACATCTCATCCTGACACCCTAAAGATGTATATTTTGTTATCCACGTCGGCACCAACGATGTTAGGGTGAAACAGTCAGAGGTCACCAAGCGCAACATAACTTCAGAGTGTAAATTAGCTAGAAAGATGTGTCGGCATCGAGTAATTGTCTCTGGCCCCCTCCCAGTTAGGGCGAGTGATGAGCTCTACACAGCAGAGTCTCACAACTCAATCCCTGGTTGAAAACTGTTGTTTTCGGCTCCTCCCAAAAGATAGAATTTGTAGATAATTGGCCCTCTTTCTGGGACTCACCCACAAACAGGACCAAGCCTGGCCTGCTGAGGAGTGATGGACTCCATCCTAGCTGGAGGGGTGCTACAGGACCAAGCCTGGCCTGCTGAGGAGTGATGGACTCCATCCTAGCTGGAGGGGTGCTACAGGACCAAGCCTGGCCTGCTGAGGAGTGATGGACTCCATCCTAGCATGGAGGGGTGCTACAGGACCAAGCCTGGCCTGCTGAGGAGTAAATGGACTCCATCCTAGCTGGAGGGGGTGTTACAGGACCAAGCCTGGCCTGCTGAGGAGTGATGGACTCCATCCTAGCTGGAGGGTGCTACAGGACCAAGCCTGGCTGCTGAGGAGTGATGGACTCCATCCTAGCTGGAGGGGGGCTCTCCATCTTATCTATCAACATAGACAGGGCTCTAACTCCTCTCAGCTCCCCAATGAGACAGGGTGCAGGCCAGGCAGCAGGCTGTTAGCCAGCCCAATGAGACAGGGTGCAGGCCAGGCAGCAGGCTGTTAGCCTCCCCAATGAGACAGGGTGCAGGCCAGGCAGCAGGCTGTTAGCCAGCCCAATGAGACAGGGTGCAGGCCAGGCAGCAGGCTGTTAGCCAGCCTGACAGCTTAGTGGAGTCTGCCACTAGCACAGTCAGGGTAGTCAGCTCAGCCAACCCCATTGAGACAGTGTCTGTGCCTCGATCTAGGTTGAGGCAAATTACAGCCTCCTCTTTGAATCTGTGTATTTCTTCATAGCTCAGCTGTCCTGAGTCTGCACCTAGGATCAATGGAGACACTCAAGTTTTTTTTATCCTATATCTCTTGACACATTCATGAAAATAGCCATGGCCTCTAAACATTCCAGCTGCATACTGGACCCTATTCCAACTAAACTACTGAAAGAACTACTTCCTGTGCTTGTCCCTCCTATGTTGAACATAATAAATGGCTCCCTATCCACTGGATGTGAACCAAACTCACTAAAACTGGCAGTAATAAAGTAACTAACCTGTCTCAGTTTATCAACCAGCTAATTATTATAATCAGGTGCGCTAGATTAGGGTTGGAGCGAAAACCTTCAGGACGGTGGCTCTCCAGGAACAGGGTTGGCCAGGCCTGTCCTCGACCTTAGTGCTGCTTTTGACACCATCGATCACCACATTCTTTTGGAGAGATTAGAAGCCCTAATTGGTCTAAAAGTTATTTCCTGGTTTAGATCTTATCTGTCGGAAAGATATCAGTTCGTCTCTGTGGATGGTTTGTCCTCTGACAAATCAATTGTACGTTTCGGTGTTCCTCAAGGTTCCGTTTTAGGACCACTATTGTTTTCACTATATATTCTACCTCTTGGTGATGTCATTCGGAAACATGTTAACTTTCACTGCTATGCGAACAACACACAGCTTTACATTTCAATGAAACATGGTGAAGCCCCAAAATTGCCTACCCTGGAAGCCTGTGTTTCAGACTTAAGGAAGTGGATGGCGGCATTTTAAAAACGTTTAAACTCTGACAAAACAGAGATGCTAGTTCTAGGTCCCAAGAAACAAATATATCTGCTGTTGGATCTGACAATTAATATTGATGGTTGTACAGTTGTCTCAAATAAAACTGAAGGACCTCGGCGTTACTCTGGACCATGATCTCCTCTTTTGACGAACATATTAAGAATTTTTCAAGGACAGCTTTCCCCCCCCCCCCCATCTTCGTAACATTGCTAACATCAAACTTTTTCTCCAAAAAAAAAGCTAACCCATGCTTCTGTCACTTCTAGATTAGATTACTGCAATGCTCTACTCTTCAGCTACCCGGATAAAACACTAAATAAACTTCAGTTAGTGCTAAACACGGCTGCAAGTATCTAGACTAGAACCAAAAAATTGTGATCAATAATTCTCTAGTGCTAGCCTCTCTACACTGGCTTCCTGTTAAGGCTAGGGCTGATTTCAAGGTTTTACAGCTAACCTACAAAGCATTACATGGGCTTGCTCCTACCTCTCTCTCCGATTTGGTCCTGCCGTACATACCTACACGTACGCTACGGTCACAAGACGCAGGCCTCCTTATTGTCCCTAGACTTTCTAAGCAAACAGCTGGAGGCAGGGCTTTCTCCTATAGAGCTCCATTTGTTTGGAATGTTTGTTTTTTTATCAATGTGAGAGACGCAGACTCGGTCTCGACCTTTATGTCTTTACTGAAGACTCCTATGATTGAGTGTAGTCTGGCCCAGGGGTGCCAAGATGAACGGAAAGGCACTGGAGCGACGAACCGCCCTTGCTGTCTCTGCCTGGCCGGCTCCCCTCTGCCTCTGACCCTGTTACGGGGGCTGAGTCACTGGCTTACTAGTGCTCTTCCATGCCGTCCCTAGAAGGGGTGCATCACTTGAGTGGGTTGAGTCACAGACGTGATCTTCCTGTCCGGTTTTGCGCCCCCACGGGATCGTGTGGTGGAGGAGATCTTCGTGGGCTGGTCAGTCCACCTGGTCGTGCTGCTGCTCCAGTTTCCACTCTTCTGCCTGCGGCTAGGGAACC